CCAACCCTGCCTCCCTCTCTCTCAGCTCTACCCACTGTCCCACACTGCCTCCCGCGAGGGTTCTTGGATTATAGCTCCCCCAGTGTTGTTAGTCTGTGTCTGTAGTGTACGGAGTGGACTATATATGCAAATACACACAGTTTATTGTTCAGATTTTCACTCTCGGCTAATAGAGCTGGATCTTGTCCTGTCGTGATGAGTTGACAAGCTGGGCTGCTTTTTTCAGCCAGACAATTTCACAAGGTCAGCTTCAAAAAGTGACAGAAACAAACCCCTTGACTTTCGCTGTCTGTTTGATGAGGGTCAGTTTGAAAAGTGCAGCTCATTTCGAAAGAAGCAGGAGCTCACTTCTTCCTCAGCCAGGGCTGGGATCTGCCAGTTCAGCCCATTCTTTACTCAACACTGACATCTAGAGGCCGCAGCGTGACGCTCCCACACCAGCGACCGCGGCGGCACCCCCAGGCTCCGCTGGCCGAGCGCGTCTTGACCCCCGCGGACAGGAAGCAGCCGGGGGGCGTGGCGGCAGGCAGCACTGCTCCGCACCTGGAGGGGAGGGAGCAGGACCGGAGCGCGATGGCGGGAGGGAGAGAGGGAGACAGGGACTTCGAGCCGCAGGAGTGGACGCCAGCAGACAGGGGCGGCCGCGCTGTTCCTGTGGCCGACGGTCATTGCAGAGGGCAGGAGGGCCGCTGGGGTCGCCCACACACCGGGCCAGAGCCCCGCTCCCGCCCGCGCCAGCGGCCCGCCCGGGCTGTCCGCGCCCCTCCGGCCCGGCCCCAGCGCCGGGGCAGCTGCACGTTCTGAAACAGCCCTGCGCCCCCGCCGGTCCCGCTCCTTCCTGCGCTGGGGCGTGCGGGGGGGGGCAGCACGCCTGGGCTGGGTAACCGCTGCCAATCCTGGGCTTCCGGCGAGGAGGGGCCCGGCGGACAGCTGCCTCCGAGCCCCTCGCTATCACCCCGCTCCAGACCTCAGGCCAGGATACTGTGGCGACATGTGCAGGGGCTCGGTCTGCGGCCGGGTTCCTCCCGTGTCAACAAGACAAATGAGCGAAGAAGAAGAGGAAGAGGGGAGACAGAGGCTGGAGAGCAGGGCCTGCTCCTGCAGGGGCCAGTGCTGGGCTGACCGGCCTGGCCTGGAGCTGGACGCCTCGGCCGCGGGACAGGAGGGGCAGGAGCAGGACAGCAGAAGAGCGGCGGGGGTCTGCGGGTCCAGCAGGCGTGGCGGGGGAGGCGCACCGTTCCTGGAACAGCCCGCAGGGGGTAGAGGTCAGAGCAGAGGGGGTGTCCCCGGAATAGCCAACATGGCGTCGTGCGCCGGCGTCCAGTCAGAGGCAGCGGCCCGGGCATAGGGACCCGGCGACCAGGCGGGTCTGGACTCCCGGCACCGGACCTGCAGGGCGGGCAGTCCGTAGGGCAGCGCGCTGCAGCCCGCTGTCACAGGCCTCACATCTGCACGCTGGCGCCAGACAGCACATCTGGCTCACATCTGCCTCCTGCCCGGCTGGAGGGCAGTCTCTGGGAGCCCCTCAGTCCAGATGTGGCTGCTTCTGACTGGGCCTGGCTGTGGACTGGAGCCAGTGGGCCTTGCTTTCCCAGCGATGACCCCTGGGAGGCGCACCGCTGCTGCGATCAGCGCCCCCCACAGGAAACCCCACTAACACACTGATTAATACCCCGACATGTCAATGACATGGGGCTCACAGCGCAAGAAGGGCAGCTCTTTCCCAGCAGCGCAGCAACAGGAGCAGAGACAGGAAATGCTCACTCCTGATTGACCCAGCTTTTCAAAACTCTTTCTCAACCAGAACCCTGCAGGGAGGAAGTCTGGGCACTTTCAGATTTGAAAGAAGATGCTGTTTGATTATAGACAAGTCCTTCCCACTGTGGGGAATCTCCACATCTTCTAACACAAACTCATAGTGCAAACACTGACACTCAGTGCACACATACCAACACTCAGTTTCACGGTGCACACGCACCGACGCTCACAGACTCACGGTGCACACGCAGTTTCTCTGGCCAGGCCGTGGGCACTGAGCCTGTCCTCTCTGGACAGCCAGGTCTGCCTGTGTCCAGTTTCTCTGGCCTGGCTGTGGGCACTGAG